AAGAATGTTAATAACAGCACTATGATAGTAGCCAAAAACTTGAAACTACCCTAATGTCCATCAAGAGATGAATGGATAAATTAATTATGTTATATTTATATAATACAATATATACAACAATCAGAGTGAATGAATTACAACTCATGAAACAACATGAATAAACCTCATAAACATGTTGATCAACAGAAGCCACGACTGGGAGAAAATATTTGCAAAACATATATCTAACAAAGGATTTGTATCCAAAATATATAAAGAACCCTTATACATCTTAATAAACAGAAGACAAACAACCTACTTTTAAAATGGGCAAAATATTTAACAGTCACTTTATCAAAGAATATACATGAATGGTGACGATCCTCTAAAAGATTTTGAAAGGAGAATCTAAGATGACAGTGATGGCATTTTTTTAACTTTCCCCAACCCAACACTTCCCATAAAAACAGAGCAACAAAAAATATAAAACCCAAAACCCATAGACAACACCTACAACATAAGTTGATGAAGTATCTCCCAAAATCCCCAAACTGAGAAGGTAAGGACAAACCACTGATAGCTATAAGGCCCATAACATATAAGCATCATCTTTGTGGGAAGAAGCAGAGGGAAGCAATGGAGTAGCTGATGGAATGGAAGAACCCCCAAGTCATCCATAGGTACTCACTGAAAGTGTAGAGGGCCAATACACAACAGCAGCCAAACTGCTGTTGTGAAAGGAATTACCTTAAGCTCTGAAAGGACTTGAGTAGGGGGGCCCTATGACCTCTCAACCTCACCAGCTGAAGCTCCCTTCTAGGACATAGCCCCACTTGGAGGAGACTCTCCTAGGAATGACAATCCGTATTAAATAGGACAGGGACAAAAAGGGTAAAGAAAAGAGAAGGTCCAGATAAAAATGGGGGTAGGAGCTGAATCAGGAAATCTCAGAAAGAGCAAGGAACAGCCCTCTGACCAGCTCCCCTCTCCCATCACCACCACCCCAACCAAGATTCAGGAAAATGAATTAGCAGTAGATAAATAGGAAAATCCCACATATCAGTGCACAAGCTCCCAGGTTATGCCGATGCTGCTGGTCTGCAGGCCATACTTTAAGTGGTAAAATCATCACTGGGAGATCAAGTTTTATCTTCACGTCCTCAGACTGGGAAATATTTTCTAGCAACGTCTGTATGTAACAAGATTCTACTGACTTAAAATATTTGAGTGGTCATGAGGTGTTTGCTGTAACACCCATTGTTATTGCAATGAGGGTCCAAGTGGCACACTCAATTTATATGATGGAGTGGGGTAGAGATCACTGACATGGTGTAACATATGCAACTGACATGGTATAACATACGCATCAAATTCTTTTTTCATCCCCCTTAGAATTCTGCATCGTGGATATCTGGCAAAGCATCTGTCAGCTGCCATTGCAGTCTGTGTGCTCAGTGAGCCTGGCTTTATGGACTTGATGAGTGAGTTATGTGAGTGAGGCTATGAGGGTTGATGTAGTAGCTGCTTCACTGAATGAAGCAATGGAAGGGAAAATAAGTACACATTATAACTATACTTCCCATTATTCTGGAATTCAAACAATCTAGAATCTCCAACAAAGTCTGAATTGTGCTTTGCTTTGAAATACTACTAACAGAATTCTAAGAGATGGTTTGTAATACAACAATCAACCTGCCCTACCCTCTTGGTTAACTCAGACAGCCTTCTACACCAGGTGCATGGTGTAGTCAGCTGAGCCTGAGAAGATAGAAGGAACTGATTTGCCTTGGAAAGGGTCATATATGAGGCTTTGATTACATTTTTGTCTCCCTTCCATTTCCTGCTAAGCGTGCAACTTCTTGGCCTCAGCACTTACAGCCAGTGGCTACAGAGGACAAAGGGTGGCAGCATCTTCAAAAGTATTTTTATTGCAGTGGTGAGCAGAATCAAGAGATTTCAGTAGTTTACAATCAGTGTCCATTACTCAATCTGCATACCTAAGTGCCCCAGATGAACTAGGTCCAAATTCTACTCTTACCACAGATATAACTGTTAACAAATCTGAATAGAGCTTAAAGTGTAAAACAATGCACTTTCATTCTCAATTTCTTTATCTGCAAAATGGGTTTCATACTACCAACTTCATAATCTATAATAAAGATTAAGTGGAATAACAGGTAAATTACCTTCTATATAGTATTGGCAGGTGTCGATATTTCCCTTACCCAACGGCAACTACTGTTTCACACACGATTTATTTTATAGATAACCTAGTTAACATCAGGTACATTGCTGAGAATTGAGAACTATAAAGTACTTTGTCATATAATGGCTAACATGATGATTTTTCTTTTAAGACTAGACTTTACCCATTTGTGTTTGGGCAACACTAACAAATACATGTACCCATATCTACAATAGTGTTTATAAAATACTTAGTGGGCCAGCCCCATGGCTTAGCGGTTAAGTGCGCGCGCTCCGCTGCTGGCGGCCCGGGTTC